AACCGTTTGCAGACATCACTTTGGGCTCTGTCAGTGCCACTTTTGAGTATTGACATTATCAGACAACCACCAGTATTCGAATGTAACTAAGTATATTTACTCAAATACTGTACTTTAGCACAAATCTAAACTACTTGTACTACACTTGAGTCTTTACTTTTCATGCTACTTCATACTTCCACTGAAATATTGTCGCTTTTACTTCACTACAGCATGAATTTGACAGCTTTATTACTTTACAAATTAGGATTTTTGAAGATAAAACACAGGAGGAACTCATAAAATACAGTGTTCTCTTATAAATTGAGCCACCCAACGGATTATACAAGTGCAGCTAAAATTATTAGTCGACTGACAGGAAAATAAGATGTAAATTTCATGTTTGTTTTTTTTAACTTAAGAACCCAAACAATTATTAGAACATAATCAGCAGATCCATCTATATAGTGATTAAAAATAAGCTCCACATTAATTAACTACAGCAGTAAAATCTTGCCTTTTCACTATTCTGTGATAATACGTTCAATATTTTAAGTATGCTTTCCTGGTAAACTTACATATTTTTACTTAACATTTGCAATGCAGGACTTATACTTGTAACAGCACTTTTACAGTGTGATATTTATACTTTTACATAAGTAAAGGATGTAAATACATCCCTCATAACTGTCTATAGTAACTCATCTCTAAGTTGAGAAAATTATTGTCAGTTTGGTAGAAAAGTGCACCTTTGTTTAAGCTTTATGGACAGAACTATAATAGTATCTCAATTTATTTATGTAGCACTTTAACAAACACAAGAGTTTACAAAGTGCTTTGACAGTGAAGTCAAGTTAAATCACTCTTAGCATATATTGAACAGCAGGAACTGAGCCAAAGTGTTAGTTATCAGCACAAACACATACATCGAGAAAGAATATGTTCCAGCAGCACAGTATTGAGCTTTTTATGGGGCCCATCCATCCAGATTCAGCAAAGGAAATTCTGTAGACCTCAGATTTCCTCCTCTATCAGTCGTCTTTTTAAAGTATTCAATGATTCTAACAGAGAATCATAAACAGTAGGGGTTAAATTAGCATCAGGATTCTGACTTTGGGGTTCATTTTCCCCCATAGAGCTGCTGGTCATAACACTGACCCTGCTAGAATGTTGTTGTTCTAAAAAATGTGCCACAAAGCTCTAATAGTGTTTTCATTAGGATGCTTTTAAGTTCCCAGAATGTTCCTCTTAAAGGTGGGATAACATTGTCAGACAAGTTCCAACTTTCTTATAACCAAATGTTGCATTGACAACGTTCTTCCTTTGTCATGTAACATTGTGGGCATGTTCTAACTCGTACTGTGTTACCTCAACAACATCCCGAAAACATCCTCAGAATACTGCAGGGAAAATGTTCCACTTTTCTCATCATAACATTTTTAAAACAATAGATCATCTGAGGCCTTGACGACATCTTTAAAACATTTTTTGAAAGCTAGTTCGGGAACATTCTTCCTTCGTAGTCATGTAACATAATCTATGAACTGGCAGTGTCCTCAAACTATCCTCAGAATGCTGTAGGAAAACAAGTTTCACCTTTTGTTGTTATATTTTTAAAACGTTACGTCATCTGAGGCCTTGAAAATACTTTGAGAATATTGTTCAGATGTTGGTTTGAGAACGTTCATTCTTTGTAATTGTGTAACATAATCTGTGGCCCTGTCAACGTCCCCAAAACATCCTCACAATATTATCTGCAAAATGTTTCACCTTTGTTATTATAACATTATCAAAAAACATTCCTTTATCTGACACCTTGACAACATCTTAAAAACGTTTCCTGAATGTTGGTTTGAGAATGTTCTTCCTTCGTAATGGTGTAACATAATCTGTGGCCCTGACAATGTCCCCAAAACGTTCTTGATACACTGCAAGTAAAATGTTCCGCCATTGTTACCGTCATCTTAAAAACGTTTTCTGAATGTTGGTTTGAGAACGTTCTTTCTTTGTAATCATGTAACATAATCTATGGCCAAGGCAACATTCCTAAAACATCCTCTAAATGCTGCAGGGAATGTTCCACCTTGAGTAACACATTATTTTAAAAAACATTCTGTCATTTGGCACTCCGATAACATCTTAAAAACATTTTTTGAATGTTGCTTTGAGAACGTTCTTCCTTCGTAATCGTGCAATATAATCTGTGGCCCTGACAACGTCCCCATAACGTTCAGACGTTGTTCAGGTCAACTGAAAAGGTTTTCTGAATGTTGGTTTGAGAACATTCTTCCATCACCATTTATTACCCCGACAACATCCCCAAAACGTCCAGATATTGTAGGTGAAATGTTCCCCGTCTGTTAAAGTACCATTCTTAAAGCATTCCGTCATTTGAGTATTTTTCTGACGTTGGTTTGAGAACATTCTTCCTTCGTAATCGTGTATCTTTGGCCCTTAGAGCATCCTCAAACTATCCTCTGAATATTGCTGGCAAAATGTTCCCCCTTTGTTAATATAACGTCATATAAAAAACATGTCATCTGAGGCCTCGATAACATCTTGAACATTTTTTGAATGTTGGTTTGTGCTTCCTTTGAAATCATGTAACCCAATCTGTGGAGCTCATAATGTCATCCAAACATCCTCTGAGTGTTGTAGAAGAAGCCTTTTACTGTCACAAATACATTACAGCATCATGAAATGTTGTTTTTCCAAATATCCCAGTTTGAGTCAGAGCAGAGGGTCAGCCGTGGTACAGGAAGGGTTAAGGGCCTTGCTCAAGGGCTCAGCAATGGCAGCGTTGGGGTTTGATCTTCTGACCTTCTGAACCCAACCCAGCCCAAAGACTGTTGAGCTACCATTGTAGTTAAACCGACTTAATTGTTAACCTCATACAAACATTATTTGAAATGATAGATACCCTTAAAATGCTTCTTGAACTAGATTAATATCCGTCCATCCGTCCATCCATCCATCCATCCATCCATCCATCCATTATCTATACACCACTTTATTAGAAATTGTCGGTTGACTATTATTGTGGGAATGTTGCCTGCTAGCTTGGAAGAAAAGCAGTTTTGGTACTTGGTGGCCATCAGAAGTTGGTTTTGGCCACCTACTGGGACATTTCGACTGACCTGGAGCCCACTAAGTTTTACTAGAAGAACTTGAGGCTCCTTTAGGGGCATCTAAAGTTCACCAAAACGTAATCTGGGCTGTGGCTCCAGAGGGAACAGTTTAATGGATGGAAGTGTCCCAATCTGCTTAAAAAACTAAATACAAAACCAGAAATGACAAATGAAATCACAATAACAAGCACTCATTTATTCTGGGCTGCAGGGGGAAGCTCCATTGAATATTGGGACCTTGGTTTGTACGGGTAGAGTTTACAATCGTGGAAAGTAACTCAGTACGTTTACTCAAGTACTCGACCTAAACACGGTTTGGACACACTGGAGGGTCACACTTGAATATCTGAGTAAATAAAATGAGTTTCTTGTTGAGATTGGTAACTGCAGCTGACAAATAGTTTTAGCTTGACGTCCATTTATCAACTGTTCTGGATCTTTCTATTATAACACATGATCTTCATCAGCCGATGAGGTTGTCTGGTTGTTGTGGAGTAGTTAAAATCTTAGGACTAAGATACTAAACACATTTACTCAAGTACTGTTTTTAGACACTATTTTACTTGTACTTGCTGCTTTATAACTCCTCTACATTTATCCGACAATCACGTTTAAGACAAAGATTCGACAAAGTGATTAACATAACAAGCTTTCTAAACACGACCCGTTGTCGAAGATTAAACCAGCGCGTAGTCTGAGTCACATTTCTGATGTTATGAGTCGTTAACGGCTCCACCAAGCAGTGATTTATCCCTCTAAACTTCTCACATGGTTTCGTTTTAACAAATGTCTAAATGATCTCAGCAAATATCAAAGATTAGAGAAAAACCAAAACCAGATTTGTGGATCAGAACTTGTCATTTCTTCTTTCCTATCCTATTAATCAGGACTGGAGCCTTCACATTTATCTGCTGTTCCTGTACATAAAACTGGATATAAAGTAATTCAAACCTGCAGCAGCTTCACTATTAATAATCTAATGATGGCAGATATAATATCAGTCAGAGGGACCAAACCAAGACTACATTTGCTACAGCACTATGCACTTTTGTACTCATGATACATCACTTTTACTTGTAATTGAGTATTTTTACAGTGCTGTATTGGTGCTTTTACTTAAATAAATAATCTAAATACTTCTTTAGCCACTTATCCACTTTGTCCACTGAGTGTTCTTCCCATTTGCACATGAGAGAACTGCTTCAAAGACATACATTTGTGGTCATTGCCTCCAAGAAAAGCAACAGAATTAAAACTTCATTCTCATTAATGTGTATCTTTATAGTGAACTTATACTTTGCTGGACCTAATTTGACCTTCATATTTGTACACCTGCCTTAAATCCTTATATTTTCCACTCATTAAACGATGTGTCCTTATCATTAAAGATGCTCTACCAGGTCTATTTTGTGTACTTATGTGTAATATTGGTTTATTCAGTGCCATGTTCCTATAGGGACCTTTCCTCTAGAGGTTGTAGAGGCTGTTTCGCAAATAACATGCCACATGATTCCTCTTGTTCTTTACAGCAGAAGACACAATAACCAGCAGCTTTTCTGGAGCTCCTCTGTGGCCGACATTGTGCCATTGTACCTTGTGTTTTCCTTTTTTTTTTTTTTTCTTTCTGGCCCTTTGTATTTTATTTACAACATTCTCTTTCTCATCCTACATTACCCAGATCCACCGAGAGCAGGCCCCGCGTTTATTGGCTTGTCTCCACTTTCCCTCTCAGCCTGGTGGGATCTGCGCACAAAGAGCGCGCAGCCAATCGCAGGCGCGCTCGGATAAACCTCAGCCAATGCGCGCAACCCTCTTATTTACATAGAGACGAGACGAGCCAATGGGGAGTCGGCACAGGAGAGGATTTTGACCCCTCTATCCAATGGTAGCGGGAGGTATAGAGTTTTGGGGAGTGCATATAATCAACATATTATCGAAGGTGCTTAGATATTGATCCTCTATTTCGAGGTAGTTCAAATTCACCTCTCCTGGCCACTTCGGGTCTGACCTTAATTTTTTTTTATTTCCCCGTGCTTGGTGGAGAATAATTCACGCGTAAAATGCCGAAGAGAAAGGTGAGTGTCGTCTCCTGCCGCCCAGCAAACACTTCACTGTAGTTTTTTCCTGCTCTCGCATTTGAGGAAAATAGCGATGCGCGATTTCTGTGTTGAGGCAGGTGAGGTGATGCCAAACTTTGAGGGAAGCGTCTTCGCGTCCGCCGCCTGTTTTTCAGGTGTATTTAACGCGTCGTTGGTCGCGGGGGAAACGTTTTTGTGATCAAATCTTGTGTCGTTTTTTCTTTCTTTTTTTTACACCATAAATACTCCCCCCTCTGTGTTCATGTCAATGGCCGTTCTTCTGGTCGTTTTTTTTTTCTTTTTTTTTTTTTATGTGCCACTTCCCTGTTCACTGTGCGCGCTGGCGAATGTCAGACGGAGCTGCCGGATGGATGGACGCATAAATCCCATAGGAGACGTGCGTTATGGTGCTTTTTTTTGCCACACATATGTAGACTGTGTGCATATGTGTGGCAACATTGGGAGGGAACAAAAAAAATACAAATCACCACCTCGGTGTCTAATTTTGGATCTCCTGGGGCGATGTGAATGGTAGCCACCAAAACCGAAAGCACGGATCCACATGAAGAGCATAAAGAAAGAGAGGATCAGAGACGATTGTGTTTTTTTTTTAAAAGGAAGGGGGAAAAAAAAAAGAGGCTGTGACACCATCCAAAAAAAAAAAAAAACTGCGTGTGCACGACGGCGCATTGTAGCCGCGCACACATGAAAACTGGCTTTTCTGCCACCTAAAAAACTGCTATTGTCTGCGCAGATTCGCCTTTGAGGACAGAGAATGGGGGGCCTCCAGGGGCGGAGGTCGCCCACATGCAAATGATGCGATTGCCAACCTGCAGGCTAAACCAACATTTTTTTTTTTTTCTCCTCCCTCCTCTCTCCTCTCTCTCTCTCCACGGTGGGGGTGGACTCTCCGGTGCGCCGTCCTTTGCCCACCTGCAGCCGGAATGTAGGCAGCGGCGTTCATTAAATGATCCCACTAAACCTAACACCGCGCCGCTAGTTAATAACTGCGCCTGAGTCAGTGCGTGTTGATGGTCTGTTTTCTCCTCAGGGAGCTCAGTTTCTTGGCCTGTAAGCAAGATGCCTCCATTAACGTGGAAACCACCAGGGAGCTTCCAGCAGCAGCAGCAGCAGCAGCAGCAGCATCATCATATGTCCACAATCAGATGATGTGAAATTTGCAGCAGTTTTTTTCAACTAATAAGATGAGAAATTGGGATTTAATTATGCTGAAACATTAGTGAGCAGTAGTTTCTGTTATTTTATGAGGAAGGCAAAGAAATTAATTTGTAATGATCATATTTGCAACCTTTAAAATTCCAGGAATCATGGGTGCAACTGTAATAAAATGCTTAGTTTGAGAATAATCTGATTCTCACATGTTTGATTATGTGAGAATCTGTCATAGACTATGTGATAGTGTTGGTCATCACAGAGGATCCAAACAGAAGCCTAAAAAAGAATTTATTATACTGTTTCATTGATGCAACATTATCATATGCACACAAGTTTGCGTGTCACAAAACTCACGCTTAGGGCCGCAAATAGCAATTTTTATTTGAGATCGATGAATTGGTCGATAAAATGATTTTAAAAACAGTTCTAAAATCGCATTATAGTGACCAAAACCAAAAGATTTTCAGTTCACTGCTGTAAATGGCAAAGAAATCTAGTGTATAATCACAAAAAGAGAGTTGTGACAGGCAGTTGGAGTAAAATAAAAAGAGTAAAATGATGTATTGATTAATCAAAATATCAAAAAATATTAGCAGATTAACGTTAAAGATTTTAATCAGTTATTTGAGGAATTCTTTCAGCTGTTGCAGATTTATTATATCAGCATCAGTGAGTGGGATTTCTGGCAAAGAGGTCCCGTTTCTTTCCAGAAAATAAAGAAATTAGCACATTTTTAGGCTCTTTGTAATATTTAAAACTATTTGTGAAGCTATATTGTTTAACAGGGCTGCAGCTAATGCTTATTTGCATTGTCAACTAGTCTGTTGATTATTAGTTTTTTAATTAACAGATTAGTTGTTTGCTCTATAAAATGTCAGAAAAATGTCACCCGAGATGACAAATGTCTTGTTTTGTCTACAAACCACAGATAGTTAGTGTCACCGGGAAATATTTAAGAAGCTGAATCAGAGAATTTTGACTTTTTTTCCCGCTTAAAAAGACGCTCAGATCATTGGATTGATTTAGTCGACAACTAACTGATTAATCGCTGCAGCTGTACAGTTCAGTGATGTCCAGTATTTGCCTTTGCTATCCATCCTGGCTCCACAGAATATATTTGTGCACAACCCAACAAGACTAAACCAAAGTGAACCAAATCCAGTTTTCATTTGCTAAAAAAGTCAAAATTTGTTGATGAAAACCGGCATTGTTTTATTTCCTTCCAGTCCGAGGGTCCCGAGGGCAAGGAGGCCTCCAAAGTCACCAAACAGGAGGAGGTACATGATTGTCTGCTGTGTGTGTGTGTGTGTGTGTGTGTGTTTGCTGTGTTGTTTTTTTATTGTACTGTAAAGTGTGTGTGTGTGTGTGTGTGAGTGAGAGAACAGGCACATGACAGGTTAATGATTAGGACGTTTGTAGCTGTGAGCCACGTAGATCAGATCAGCAACACAAAGGTACAACTGATATTTGTCTCTCTCTGCCACCGTCTCTGTCTCCTTCTTTCTCTCTCTCTCTCTCTTGTTGATCATCTCTTGCTCCGGTAGACACTCAGAAGGTCATCGAGATTGTCCTTGGTAAGTTTTCGTTCTCCCCTCCCTGTCCTCACCTCTGTCGCTGTCCTCTCTTTCCTCTCCGTGTCTCCCCCTCGAGTGTCACGTTACCGAGCGCTCCCGAGTAAAGTCCTCACCAGGTTTATGGATTTGATCAAGGCAATCAGCATTTACAAATTCCATAAACGTGCTCCCGGAGGATTGGCTCTGGCTTGGTATGCATGTCTTTTCTCTGTTGTCCGGTGTCTACGTGGCGTGTTGCTTGTTGATGTGCAGGGCTGCATGATTAAAATAATTTAGAATTTTACTGTTCAGGGTGTAAATTATGTTGTCATATCAGTAAGACTAAAGCATTTTTTTTTTTCTTAATGAAATGCTAAGATACACTTGAAATGCTCCCAATTTGCATTAAAACTGATGATTATGGATGGTAACCATGACAATATCATCTAGCAAATGTATCATTAGCATGTTAGTGTGTGGGTATCATTTTAATGCGGTCGTGCAGCTCTGCCATACAGGCCATGTGGTTCTGTGTACTTTGCATGTTAAATCCATCTGTGCTGAGTCTTTGCATGTGTTTGTGTATTTGCATGTTCACTTTGAAGGAATAGCTTGACATTTTGGGAAACCTCTTTACTGCCAATAGTATGAGCTCCATACCACTCTTATACGCAACTAATGATTGTTTCCATTGTCAGTCACTCTATTTGTTGATTTCTCAAATAATCGATTAACTATTTGGTCTCTAAAATGGTGAAAAAGCACCAATCAGCGCTTTCAAAAGCCTAAGATGGTGTCGTCAATTGTCTTGTTTTGTCCACAACCCAAAAATATTCACTTTACTGTCATAGATGAGGAAAGAAACCGAGAAAATATTTAGATTTAGGTCGCTGGAATCAGAGAATTCAGACTTTTTCCCTCCTAAAAAACACTTGAACTGATTATTCATTTACAAAAAATAGTTGCCGATTTATGTAATAGTTGGCAACTAACTGTTTAAACGTTGCAGCTCTGTTCTCAACTCAGCTAGAATTTAGCAGCTTGCAGTGCGTTAGCTTAGCTTAGCGTAGCTTAGCTTAGCATAAAGGCCGGAGGCAGGGGGAAACAGCTAGCCAGGTGTAAGTAAAAAATGCCTACGAGCACCTTTACAGCTCCCTAATTAACATTATTTACATAGTTGTTTAACCCTTTCAACACTAGTAAAGTACCTTTGCTTGAAATTCATGATCAGATATGGTTTTGATTAATCACTCATGAATTCTTAAGTAGACTTTATATCATTACGTATCTGGTATCAATCAAAAGTCGACACGCTGACGGTTAAATACATGTGGAAGTTACTCTTGTCATATACATACAGATGTGAAAAAGAAAAGGTAAACTTCAGAACTACCAGGGATATTCTGCAATTAATCATCAGCTTTTATATCCTGAGACATCAGCCAAAGTTTTGTAATTAGTTAGTTTTGATTGCTTAACAAACATTTTAGAAACGAGGTAGCGAAAATCCAGTTTTCTGGTTATTTTTGGGGTCAAATGATGTCAATTTACTTCATTTGCATAATTTGTTTCACGACTGAATCGCTTGTTCACATACTCCCTGTATGTTCCCACTGATAGCCAATCAAAATGAATGTAACAGAAAGTATACCGGAGCCCACGATACCGGGCTGCAGGGTTGGAACGGTGGTGAAAGCCGCCAACCGATATAGCGGTCTGCGGTGAACGGGAGTCGTAATGCCAGCCCTGTATCGCAGGTTATAGTGTTGAAAGGGTTAACATAAAAAGAACAAGTTGTGGTTTTGTTTGCACTGTTTAACTAGGCGTCGTAGCCAAACAACCCATAGAGACTCCAGGAAAGCAAAGCGCTATCTGTTTTCTACCCGTCTTCTGTAATTATCTGAAGCTAAGCTAACCATCGCTTAGCTACTGTGTCACATTTAAAGAGAACCTTATTATGCTTTTTGGGATTTTTTTTTGGAGCTTGTAAAAGGTCTACAAACTAATAAAGGCCAAAGTTCCTACCAAAGAGAGACACTGCTTCCTACCTTCCTTAAAGGCCTTGTTTGAAGTCTAGGTTTTTTTTCAGTGGCTTGTCTACATCATCGTGAATAGCCCCGAGCTTGGCAGCGTCCTTAAAGTTTGCCAATATTTCTTCCTTAGGGCGGCTTTCTCCTGCGGCGTCATCTGTCATGGTGTTGTGATCGGTTGTGGTTTTGGTCTTTTAACTTCTTTTGTGTTGTGCCACCTCAACAGGGTTCCACTGTTATGACTCACACGTTTCAAACAGTCCAAGTCGCAACTAAAACACAGCCGCAGGCTCATTTGGCCAATTTATTCTCACCCTAAACAGCGTAAAGTCTGACGTGAGAATAAATCCGCGTCTGTGATTTAGTGTTGTTGTTTAAAATAAGTAACGACGGCACAGTGAAGCAGAAGTTAAAGCCACAACAAAACTGAGACTCCTTGCCGTCCGTTCCTTCCATCACAGCCGATCACCATCTTATTAGTTATAATAAATGCAAAACCCATAACCGTGATTGTTGTTAGATATCAATTTATTAAAGAGTCACAAAAAAAAGATCTGCATTACCTCCATAAATTCACTAATTGTTTGCATGTAATTTGCAAACGGAAAAAAGATGGGTCGGACTCAAAGATCCTGGTTTACCTCCCTTTAATGCCAACTAACCAATCAGAGCAGACTTAGTGGCCTTAAAGAGACAGGAGCTAAAACGGAGCATTTCAGACGGAGCGTGGGAAAACACAGTATGAAGAAAATAATGCGCTTTTTGAGCATTACAGCCTGTTAAGCATAGTGTAGGAAAACCCCAAAAGCAAAATTCTAAACCTGTAAATGTGTGTTAATATGGGCTCTTTAACATCAGAGAGTATTTTTATCTGTCTGTTTCCCAAAATGTGCAAATATTCTGCTTTAAATGTGACATCAGTGTCTGTACGTTGTTTTGTTTTTTTGCATGTTTCCTGATGCGATCACTTTCAGCAGTGAACTTATCCAATACTATTTTCAGATACCTTGTTTATAGGCTACAATTTGGTTTGCATGATTAAAATATAGCCTTCCTTCCTTCTGTTTTCTGACTTCCATCAATATGTAGGTCACTTTCTATATGTAGTTGTAAATGTTAAGTCCCCCCATTACTTGCAGTCAAGTGATTATTTGTGCCTTTCGGTTTAAGTCTCATGTGCACTGTCAGAGATTTCCGAAGAAAACCAGAGATATTCTGAGTAACACTCACATGATTCGATTTTGTCACAGCAGTGTTGCTGTAGCTGGCGGCTTCGGGGTAACGTGGTCCACACTAGGCGGCCTGGAAAAATTTTCTGCAGCAAACTTGCTCTAGAATCTGTGCTCCCATCTGATATAGTCATTGCGCAGCGGTCTGAGGTCTGCTCACTTTTACAAGATGGGAGTTATTTTAGAGCTGCGTAGCATGAGAAAATCGTCAGAGACCTGTTGCTCAGGAAATACAAGTACTTCATTGTTATTAATATTTACAGTGCAGACATTCCAGTCCTCCACGAGCTCTGTGTTCATCCTTAATGAATTTGCTCAGCAGCTCTAGTGGCTAAAGCAATATTATTTTAAACAGTGCTGTAAATGTGCACAGGGTTGGGGGGTTGTGTGGGGGGGTGGGCTATAGATAAACAAGTATTTCTCCGTAAAGGATGAACTGTGAGAATGATCAGCTCTAAATTTTTTTGTGTGTAATTAGCTGAGGCATACTGCACCCAAGCCTGAGGCCAAGCCCAAGAAGGCCATCGTGAAGGTAAAGTACACAAACAAGCCGGCACACGCAATCCCACAATAATTTATTTATATCCACATGAATTTGCAACAGTCTGATGAGCTTAGTTGCCCTTCACTGCATGATTGAAGCTGCTGGATGTGAAAACAACTCCTAACATACGTTGTAGCTACACATATACGATCCATGGCTCATTGTTTACATCTAAAAATCATATAAATGTGTTGATAGCATATTCTTAAGTTAAAAAAAAGTGTGCACTGTTATGTGGATAGTATTTGAGTGTTTTTGAGGAAATAAAGATGTAAATAAGGAGGTTATACAGAGAAAACATTCCATGCCCGGTAATGTCTGCTGCCATTGAGTTTATATGCGTCTTCTCATTCGTCCTGAGCAGAAGGTGGTCGACGATAAGGGGGCGAAGGCAAAGAAAGGCGGCCCCAAGGGGAAGAAGGACGACGGTCCTGCCCAGAACGGAGAGACCAAGACCAATGAGGTACGAGGAAGGGAAAACGCACAAATTGCAAAAGAAAAAAATTGCATATTTATTTAGGAACACGCAAGAAATTAATGATCTTTATTTCCTTATTTTGTCAATTTGTGTGTATAACACTTGTGTGCATGTTCCATACCTACACTCCTCCATAACCCGCTGCACAATCACATCTGTTACTTACTACCAATGCATCTTTTTTTGCTTAAATGTATACACGCTCATGCACACAAACACACACACACACGCACACAGATCTATGTGTCTCGTCCGTCTGTCAGTGTGTCCTCCATCAGAAGCATGGCTCCCTCCATGATGTCAGTGAGAGGGCAGAGTGAGACAGTCAGAGTTAAGGGTATGGCTGAGTGTTTCTAACCCACCATCGGTTTGTGTGTGTTTGGACGCTAACACTTTTGCAGCAATCGTGTGTTAACCCTCTGAACTCCGAACCCCCGGCATGCTACTTTAAAGAAAAGCACCCAGATTACACAACTTTTCAAAACCAGAAATGGTAAAAACATGAAAAAAAAATCAGGAAATTTGGTGACTGACGTGCAGTTCTAAGAAGGAAAATTAACCAAATCTAAGCTTGGAACCATGATTTAGTCATCATTGTCACTTAGATCTACAAGTCTAGTTTTAAAATTTGTTAGACAAACTTTTAATGCTCCTCGGCACAACTCGGAAACCATGTCTGGCTCAGGATGCGACCCCCAGTCTTGCAACAAAAATCCTGGGTACATTTGGCTGAACTGCAGGCTGTGTACACAGAGAAGAGACGACTAAAGAAACAAATTAGAGCGATTGAGAGCAAAATAAAACATATTAGAGCAATAAATTAAATGCAGCACGGCTCAACAACAGTACACAGAGGAGCAGATTGTTGGAAGATACTTTCAGCGTGGTGAAATGTGTTTCTAGACTTGTTGGACATTCTGATGTCAGTTGTTTTTAAATAAAATGTATAATCTAGGAAGTTCAATTTTAATTTTTTCAACTGGCAGTGTACCTGTCATACTGCACAACAGACATTCTGAGTTCTCTCTCCTTCTGCCCATGGTTGTGCTGTTTCCATAGAGGTGCAGGACTTTATGTTGGAGTGAAAAATGAGCCGACAGCGAGTTAAAATGTGACAGGAGCAATAAATGGTGAGGAGCTGCTCCGGGTTGAGAGGGTTAACGGAGCAAACATTTACTCAGTGTGCTTTGGAGTGCTGTGTTTATTAGCATGTTTGAGAAAGAGAAGGAAAGAAATAATGGTGACAGCGCGAAGAAGGGAAGACGTGAGGTTGAGGATGTCTTGATTGCTTGTTGTGTGCAGTGAAGTGGGCCAAGGACAAGTTTTTGTGTTGGCAGGAAGGTTTGCTGCTGCTCACAGAGCTGTGATTGGCTCATTGTGTTTCATAGAGAGCTGGATCCACCAGTGACCCAAAGCAGACTGGAGATGTTCACTCTGGTCGGATCAGAGGAGCTAGATTTGATTCCCTTGTTTAGATGATGATAGTAGAAGAACTCAGCTGTGGTTGTAAATATTGGTGTATCCAGGAAAGAACAGTTTTCTGAATTTGAAAAGCATCCTGATTCAAGTTGGAAGCTTAAAGCTGAGCCAATCAGCAAATTATAGTGAGTGGTCACATTTCAACTCAACATCTCACCTGGGCTTGTGGATCTGACATTAAAGGGCCAGTTCAATCAAATCACTACAGCGATAGTTTTATTTGCAGCGCTTGGAGAGATGAATATAAACATGAAATCAGCTACAACTAGCAATAGGCAAATTCACTCCTTTAGGAATAACGCTTAGTTTGTTTTTTCTGCTGAGAGAGTAGGATTGATACCACTCCCATGTTTGTGTATTTGAAGCTACAGCCAGGAGGCAGTTAGCTTAGCTTAGCATAAAGACTGAAAACACATGTTTGAACTCCACCAAGACTTTTGAGAGAGATTACTTTTTTCTTTACAGTTTTGCAGTCAGAAACAACTAATACGACATGTATGAAGTGTTTGATTTAGCTTTAACTTATCGTGAATAATAGGAAAACAGACAAGAAGTAGCTGCTGTTGTCTGACTTTAGCCCCACAGAAGATCGGGTTTGTTCTTCTGTTTAGCTACATGGTGACTGGCATCAAGAAACTTTGTGTTTTCTATGATCTTTGCATGGAAGTGAGTACAATTTATAACATTGCAAAAAACATAGCATGCATCTTGCCATCTTTACGAAAGAATACCCCCAAATGCATGAATAATACATCAGTAGTAGACCCATTTTGTGCATGATCGATGATGAAGATACAGAATAATGGAAATGAATGGCTAAAACTCATCATGACTTTAGATGCCCCAAACTTTCACAAATCATCCTTTCAGTGGAGCTCATGTCTTATTTAGGAGGCATTTATGCTAAGCTAAGCTCAATGTCTTCTGGCTGTAGTTTTATATTTAGCCAACCACCTGCTACTCCGAGCCTCATATTCACTAGATAAACATGTTAGTGGTTGTAATGTCATGGGTGGCCTCAGGTCAGGTGGTAGAGCAGGTTGTCCACTAATCGCGGGGGTTGGATCCTCGTGTCCGGGTTCCTTTGTTCAGACAATGAACCCAAAGTTACTCCTGATGGCAGGTGAGCATGTTGCATTGTGTGTTTGTGTGCTAAAGGTAATGATGTGTTAAATCTCAGAAAGAAAACCAATTAGAGCTGATTTACCACATTAATGCAAACCAATTTTTTCCGAGGATTCGTTGTAAGAAAAATGATAATTGAATGTAATTAGGTAGGAGTTGTAGTTAACATGTAATCTTCGCTTGTAAAACCCCCAAACCTCTGTCAAAGTTACCCACGTAACCCTGTTAACACTGAAAGCCGCCACGATTCGTTCATTAATCAATTTGATGACTATTAAATTAATCGCCAACTATTTTTGGTGATCAATGAAACTGGTTTAGGCCGTTATTCAAAGCTGTGAACAGGCACGTGATAAAAGTTCTGGGACTATTGGGCTGAACTGCAGGCAGTGTACACGTAGGACAACGGAGATGAACAATGAAACACATTAGAGACCAACTGCAAAATTAAAAAGATATCAGAGGAGCAAGTCGTTGGAAGATACATCCAGCATGGTGACATAACTTTTTAGAGTAGTGTGAACAATATCAACTATTTTCGTAATCGATTACCGTAATTTCTGGACTATAAGGACACTGATTTTTACAAGTTTTATGAATTTGCCTCGAGACGAAAGTGACATTGAGAGCGACAACAAAAGAGAGACTGAGGAAGTGTGTGATGAAGTAATTCTGAGGNAATGCGGTCGTGCAGCTCTGCCATACAGGCCATGTGGTTCTGTGTACTTTGCATGTTAAATCCATCTGTGCTGAGTCTTTGCATGTGTTTGTGTATTTGCATGTTCACTTTGAAGGAATAGCTTGACATTTTGGGAAACCTCTTTACTGCCAATAGTATGAGCTCCATACCACTCTTATACGCAACTAATGATTGTTTCCATTGTCAGTCACTCTATTTGTTGATTTCTCAAATAATCGATTAACTATTTGGTCTCTAAAATGGTGAAAAAGCACCAATCAGCGCTTTCAAAAGCCTAAGATGGTGTCGTCAATTGTCTTGTTTTGTCCACAACCCAAAAATATTCACTTTACTGTCATAGATGAGGAAAGAAACCGAGAAAATATTTAGATTTAGGTCGCTGGAATCAGAGAATTCAGACTTTTTCCCTCCTAAAAAACACTTGAACTGATTATTAATTTACAAAAGTAGTTGCCGATTTATGCAATAGTTGGCAACTAACTGTTTAAACGTTGCAGCTCTGTTCTCAACTCAGCTAGAATTTAGCAGCTTGCAGTGCGTTAGCTTAGCTTAGCGTAGCTTAGCTTAGCATAAAGGCCGGAGGCAGGGGGAAACAGCTAGCCAGGTGTAAGTAAAAAATGCCTACGAGCACCTTTACAGCTCCCTAATTAACATTATTTACATAGTTGTTTAACCCTTTCAACACTAGTAAAGTACCTTTGCTTGAAATTCATGATCAGATATGGTTTTGATTAATCACTCATGAATTCTTAAGTAGACTTTATATCATTACGTATCTGGTATCAATCAAAAGTCGACACGCTGACGGTTAAATACATGTGGAAGTTACTCTTGTCATATACATACAGGTGTGAAAAAGAAAAGGTAAACTTCAGAACTACCAGGGATATTCTGCAATTAATCATCAGCTTTTATATCCTGAGACATCAGCCAAAGTTTTGTAATTAGTTAGTTTTGATTGCTTAACAAACATTTTAGAAACGAGGTAGCGAAAATCCAGTTTTCTGGTTATTTTTGGGGTCAAATGATGTCAATTTACTTCATTTGCATAATTTGTTTCACGACTGAATCGCTTGTTCACATACTCCCTGTATGTTCCCACTGATAGCCAATCAAAATGAATGTAACAGAAAGTATACCGGAGCTCGCGATACTGGGCTGCAGTGTTGAATGGCGGTGAAAGCCACCGACCGATATAGCGGTCTGCGGTGAACGGGAGTCGTAATGCCAGCCCTGTATCGCAGGTTATAGTGTTGAAAGGGTTAACATAAAAAGAACAAGTTGTGGTTTTGTTTGCACTGTTTAACTAGGCGTCGTAGCCAAACAACCCATAGAGACTCCAGGAAAGCAAAGCGCTATCTGTTTTCTACCCGTCTTCTGTAATTATCTGAAGCTAAGCTAACCATCGCTTAGCTACTGTGTCACATTTAAAGAGAACCTTATTATGCTTTTTGGGATTTTTTTTTGGAGCTTGTAAAAGGTCTACAAACTAATAAAGGCCAAAGTTCCTACCAAAGAGAGACACTGCTTCCTACCTTCCTTAAAGGCCTTGTTTGAAGTCTAGGTTTTTTTTCAGTGGCTTGTCTACATCATCGTGAATAGCCCCGAGCTTGGCAGCGTCCTTAAAGTTTGCCAATATTTCTTCCTTAGGGCGGCTTTCTCCTGCGGCGTCATCTGTCATGGTGTTGTGATCGGTTGTGGTTTTGGTCTTTTAACTTCTTTTGTGTTGTGCCACCTCAACAGGGTTCCACTGTTATGACTCACACGTTTCAAACAGTCCAAGTCGCAACTAAAACACAGCCGCAGGCTCATTTGGCCAATTTATTCTCACCCTAAACAGCGTAAAGTCTGACGTGAGAATAAATCCGCGTCTGTGATTTAGTGTTGTTGTTTAAAATAAGTAACGACGGCACAGTGAAGCAGAAGTTAAAGCCACAACAAAACTGAGACTCCTTGCCGTCCGTTCCTTCCATCACAGCCGATCACCATCTTATTAGTTATAATAAATGCAAAACCCATAACCGTGATTGTTGTTAGATATCAATTTATTAAAGAGTCACAAAAAAAAGATCTGCATTACCTCCATAAATTCACTAATTGTTTGCATGTAATTTGCAAACGGAAAAAAGATGGGTCGGACTCAAAGATCCTGGTTTACCTCCCTTTAATGCCAACTAACCAATCAGAGCAGACTTAGTGGCCTTAAAGAGACAGGAGCTAAAACGGAGCATTTCAGACGGAGCGTGGGAAAACACAGTATGAAGAAAATAATGCGCTTTTTGAGCATTACAGCCTGTTAAGCATAGTGTAGGAAAACCCCAAAAGCAAAATTCTAAACCTGTAAATGTGTGTTAATATGGGCTCTTTAACATCAGAGAGTATTTTTATCTGTCTGTTTCCCAAAATGTGCAAATATTCTGCTTTAAATGTGACATCAGTGTCTGTACGTTGTTTTGTTTTTTTGCATGTTTCCTGATGCGATCACTTTCAGCAGTGAACTTATCCAATACTATTTTCAGATACCTTGTTTATAGGCTACAATTTGGTTTGCATGATTAAAATATAGCCTTCCTTCCTTCTGTTTTCTGACTTCCATCAATATGTAGGTCACTTTCTATATGTAGTTGTAAATGTTAAGTCCCCCCATTACTTGCAGTCAAGTGATTATTTGTGCCTTTCGGTTTAAGTCTCATGTGCACTGTCAGAGATTTCCGAAGAAAACCAGAGATATTCTGAGTAACACTCACATGATTCGATTTTGTCACAGCAGTGTTGCTGTAGCTGGCGGCTTCGGGGTAACGTGGTCCACACTAGGCGGCCTGGAAAAATTTTCTGCAGCAAACTTGCTCTAGAATCTGTGCTCCCATCTGATATAGTCATTGCGCAGCGGTCTGAGGTCTGCTCACTTTTACAAGATGGGAGTTATTTTAGAGCTGCGTAGCATGAGAAAATCGTCAGAGACCTGTTGCTCAGGAAATACAAGTACTTCATTGTTATTAATATTTACAGTGCAGACATTCCAGTCCTCCACGAGCTCTGTGTTCATCCTTAATGAATTTGCTCAGCAGCTCTAGTGGCTAAAGCAATATTATTTTAAACAGTGCTGTAAATGTGCACAGGGTTGGGGGGTTGTGTGGGGGGGTGGGCTATAGATAAACAAGTATTTCTCCGTAAAGGATGAACTGTGAGAATGATCAGCTCTAAATTTTTTTGTGTGTAATTAGCTGAGGCATACTGCACCCAAGCCTGAGGCCAAGCCCAAGAAGGCCATCGTGAAGGTAAAGTACACAAACAAGCCGGCACACGCAATCCCACAATAATTTATTTATATCCACATGAATTTGCAACAGTCTGATGAGCTTAGTTGCCCTTCACTGCATGATTGAAGCTGCTGGATGTGAAAACAACTCCTAACATACGTTGTAGCTACACATATACGATCCATGGCTCATTGTTTACATCTAAAAATCATATAAATGTGTTGATAGCATATTCTTAAGTTAAAAAAAAGTGTGCACTGTTATGTGGATAGTATTTGAGTGTTTTTGAGGAAATAAAGATGTAAATAAGGAGGTTATACAGAGAAAACATTCCATGCCCGGTAATGTCTGCTGCCATTGAGTTTATATGCGTCTTCTCATTCGTCCTGAGCAGAAGGTGGTCGACGATAAGGGGGCGAAGGCAAAGAAAGGCGGCCCCAAGGGGAAGAAGGACGACGGTCCTGCCCAGAACGGAGAGACCAAGACCAATGAGGTACGAGGAAGGGAAAACGCACAAATTGCAAAAGAAAAAAATTGCATATTTATTTAGGAACACGCAAGAAATTAATGATCTTTATTTCCTTATTTTGTCAATTTGTGTGTATAACACTTGTGTGCATGTTCCATACCTACACTCCTCCATAACCCGCTGCACAATCACATCTGTTACTTACTACCAATGCATCTTTTTTTGCTTAAATGTATACACGCTCATGCACACAAACACACACACACACGCACACAGATCTATGTGTCTCGTCCGTCTGTCAGTGTGTCCTCCATCAGAAGCATGGCTCCCTCCATGATGTCAGTGAGAGGGCAGAGTGAGACAGTCAGAGTTAAGGGTATGGCTGAGTGTTTCTAACCCACCATCGGTTTGTGTGTGTTTGGACGCTAACACTTTTGCAGCAATCGTGTGTTAACCCTCTGAACTCCGAACCCCCGGCATGCTACTTTAAAGAAAAGCACCCAGATTACACAACTTTTCAAAACCAGAAATGGTAAAAACATGAAAAAAAAATCAGGAAATTTGGTGACTGACGTGCAGTTCTAAGAAGGAAAATTAACCAAATCTAAGCTTGGAACCATGATTTAGTCATCATTGTCACTTAGATCTACAAGTCTAGTTTTAAAATTTGTTAGACAAACTTTTAATGCTCCTCGGCACAACTCGGAAACCATGTCTGGCTCAGGATGCGACCCCCAGTCTTGCAACAAAAATCCTGGGTACATTTGGCTGAACTGCAGGCTGTGTACACAGAGAAGAGACGACTAAAGAAACAAATTAGAGCGATTGAGAGCAAAATAAAACATATTAGAGCAATAAATTAAATGCAGCACGGCTCAACAACAGTACACAGAGGAGCAGATTGTTGGAAGATACTTTCAGCGTGGTGAAATGTGTTTCTAGACTTGTTGGACATTCTGATGTCAGTTGTTTTTAAATAAAATGTATAATCTAGGAAGTTCAATTTTAATTTTTTCAACTGGCAGTGTACCTGTCATACTGCACAACAGACATTCTGAGTTCTCTCTCCTTCTGCCCATGGTTGTGCTGTTTCCATAGAGGTGCAGGACTTTATGTTGGAGTGAAAAATGAGCCGACAGCGAGTTAAAATGTGACAGGAGCAATAAATGGTGAGGAGCTGCTCCGGGTTGAGAGGGTTAACGGAGCAAACATTTACTCAGTGTGCTTTGGAGTGCTGTGTTTATTAGCATGTTTGAGAAAGAGAAGGAAAGAAATAATGGTGACAGCGCGAAGAAGGGAAGACGTGAGGTTGAGGATGTCTTGATTGCTTGTTGTGTGCAGTGAAGTGGGCCAAGGACAAGTTTTTGTGTTGGCAGGAAGGTTTGCTGCTGCTCACAGAGCTGTGATTGGCTCATTGTGTTTCATAGAGAGCTGGATCCACCAGTGACCCAAAGCAGACTGGAGATGTTCACTCTGGTCGGATCAGAGGAGCTAGATTTGATTCCCTTGTTTAGATGATGATAGTAGAAGAACTCAGCTGTGGTTGTAAATATTGGTGTATCCAGGAAAGAACAGTTTTCTGAATTTGAAAAGCATCCTGATTCAAGTTGGAAGCTTAAAGCTGAGCCAATCAGCAAATTATAGTGAGTGGTCACATTTCAACTCAACATCTCACCTGGGCTTGTGGATCTGACATTAAAGGGCCAGTTCAATCAAATCACTACAGCGATAGTTTTATTTGCAGCGCTTGGAGAGATGAATATAAACATGAAATCAGCTACAACTAGCAATAGGCAAATTCACTCCTTTAGGAATAACGCTTAGTTTGTTTTTTCTGCTGCGAGAGTAGGATTGGATACTACTCCCATGTTTGTGTATTTGAAGCTACAGCCAGGAGGCAGTTAGCTTAGCTTAGCATAAAGACTGAAAACACATGTTTGAACTCCACCAAGACTTTTGAGGACTTTTTTCTTTACAGTTTTGCAGTCAGAAACAACTAATACGACATGTATGAAGTGTTTGATTTAGCTTTAACTTATCGTGAATAATAGGAAAACAGACAAGAAGTAGCTGCTGTTGTCTGACTTTAGCCCCACAGAAGATCGGGTTTGTTCTTCTGTTTAGCTACATGGTGACTGGCATCAAGAAACTTTGTGTTTTCTATGATCTTTGCATGGAAGTGAGTACAATTTATAACATTGCAAAAAACATAGCATGCATCTTGCCATCTTTACGAAAGAATACCCCCAAATGCATGAATAATACATCAGTAGTAGACCCATTTTGTGCATGATCGATGATGAAGATACAGAATAATGGAAATGAATGGCTAAAACTCATCATGACTTTAGATGCCCCAAACTTTCACAAATCATCCTTTCAGTGGAGCTCATGTCTTATTTCGGAGGCATTTATGCTAACCTAAGCTCAATGTCTTCTGGCTGTAGTTTTATATTTAGCCAACCACCTGCTACCCTGAGCTTCATATTCGCTAGATAAACATGTTAGTGGTTGTAATGTCATGGGTGGCCTCAGGTCAGGTGGTAGAGCAGGTTGTCCACTAATCGCAGGGTTGGATCCTCGTGTCCGGGTTTCTTTGTTCAGACAATGAACCCAAAGTTACTCCTGATGGCAGGTGAGCATGTTGCATTGTGTGTTTGTGTGCTAAAGGTAATGATGTCTAAAGTCTCAGAAAGAAAACCAATTAGAGCTGATTTACCACATTAATGCAAACCAATTTTTTCCGAGGATTCGTTGTAAGAAAAATGATAATTGAATGTAATTAGGTAGGAGTTGTAGTTAACATGTAATCTTCGCTTGTAAAACCCCCAAACCTCTGTCAAAGTTACCCACGTAACCCTGTTAACACTGAAAGCCGCCACGATTCGTTCATTAATCAATTTGATGACTATTAAATTAATCGCCAACTATTTTTGGTGATCAATGAAACTGGTTTAGGCCGTTATTCAAAGCTGTGAACAGGCACGTGATAAAAGTTCTGGGACTATTGGGCTGAACTGCAGGCAGTGTACACGTAGGACAACGGAGATGAACAATGAAACACATTAGAGACCAACTGCAAAATAAAATATATCAGAGGAGCAAGTTGTTGGAAGATACATCCAGCTTTTTAGAGTAGTGTGAACAATATCAACTATTTTCGTAATCGATTACCGTAATTTCTGGACTATAAGGACACTGATTTTTACAAGTTTTATGAATTTGCCTCGAGACGAAAGTGACATTGAGAGCGACAACAAAAGAGAGACTGAGGAAGTGTGTGATGAAGTAATTCTGAGGTCGTTCAATTCTGACACTGAAGAACTTTAGTGGTTTTAGTGCGCAGGAGGAAGATGAAGATAGTGATCAGTGACTTTTCCTGGTCAGCTGCTGTATTTTTCATTTATTTAACCAGCCGTGTCACAGGCGCTGTTCGGAAAAAAAGCATTTATGGTATTTGTGTATGTTACCGGTACGTATTTAATTAAAAGTTAAAAAAATCTTTCTATGTAAATATCTCATATTACAACGTGGACACCTGCAGCTTGTAGACAAGTGCGGCCTACATATGTACACATTTTTTTAAGTTAGTGGGTGCGGCTTATATTCAGGTGTGCTCAATAGTCCGAAAATTATGGTGATCGATATGAGTAATTATTTAAGAAAAATAACTCTGGATTCTCTGACTCCAGCTTCTGAAATCTGAATATTTTGTAGGTTCTTCCTCCATTAAACTGAATATGTTTTGGTTGTGGACAAAACAGGAAACTTGAGGTCGCATTGGAACCAAAGTGGCACATTTTAAAAATAACAGGTTTTACATAAAAGTCGTTAAAAAACAAAATGTTGGATTAACCATTGTTGGAATAATCATTGATAGCAGCCCTGGTGAACATGCTGATAGAAACCGCTAAACCCAACAGTTCAGTTAGCTGTAGTATACGCAGGATAAGGTTGATTTACACCCAAGTGGATCTTTCTGGTGGAGCCTTCACTGACCAAACTTCTCCAAGTTCCTGGTAATAATTTCTTGGCTTTGCTAATTGCAGTCGCTGCTCTCGTCTACCTGGAGTCGAGTCACCTAAGTTGTTTCCCCTCTTCTTCCCTGCAGGAAACTGAAGCAGCTGAGGAGGCGACTGAGGAGAAGGCGTAAAGACTCGGGCGCAGCTCGTCCCCTCTGACTCCATGGCAGCAAAAGCATCTTTTTTTACTGACGATTTTTGTACCATGCTGAATTTTTTTTAGACTTGTGATAGTAGAGACGGACAACCAGCAGCCCCCCGCCCGCCCGCCCCATACCTCCACACTCCTTCCACCCCTCGTTTTTCGCTCCCTTCTCCTCCCTCCTCCATCCCGTATGGCTATACAGTAAATCCTCTTAGAAGCAGAACAGGCAGAATGAAGCGGTTCCATCAGACAGCTGCAGATGTTCTTTGTTTTGCCTGAAGGGGGCCATAAACGTGACTGTTATGATCTTTAAACCAGCTCTGCCTTTGTTTTGTAGTTATTCTCCATAACAAAACAAAAAAAAAAAGTGGTCGTTATTATTGGCCTTGTAACGAGGACATGCTCCCGCCCCCCCCCGACGGTTAAGGTGACGGTTTGTGGGCAACAGTTTGAACGCAGAGCTTCGAGAAACCGGTTCCACAGTCGCCCTGGGGAACATCTGCAGCTTTTAAAAAATCTTTGTTGTTAGAATCACCCACCACCGTGTTTCACATAGCTCCTTTTGTATGTGTGTGCCGGAGTGAATGTGTTTGTGGGTGTTTGTGTTTGACTTTGTTCACTTTGTTTCCCCTCCCCTCCCCACCTTCCCCTCTCTTCCTTCTTTCTTTTTCTTTTTCTTTCCCCTCCCCTCCTGATCGCCTTGTCCTGCAGCAGAGTGACATAGCAATAATGAGTGGTGCTTCTGTTCTAGACGCCTCTATTGGCTTTGGACCCTCTGGGCTTCTCTTTTGAGTTTCATCCTGTTGGGAGACTATTTTGAAATAAAAGAAAAAGTTGATGTCATGTGGGAGTTTGTTTCGTTTCCTGTTTTTACAGTGTGTCTTCGTTACATTTACTGGTGAATAAAACTACTGTGTGTAAAATCCAGCATGTATATTTTCTCTAGTTGGACTCCAGTGCACTGCAACATATGCTGGTGTTGGGCAAACAGAGGCTGCACATGTGTGTGTGTGTGTGTGTGTGTGTGCAGAGCGTGTGTTTTCTGCTTGTGTTCCAGAGCTCCTTTTCAATGTGTTCAGGTTTTTACGGGTACTTTATTTAAACCAACACAAAGCGGCCACTGTGTGTCTGTATACATCTTTTATGTGCATGTGTGTGCGAGGTCGCCAGGGGCACGTGGCTGTGCTAAATACAACTGCTGCGTCAGGAAGTGAAAGGTCAGCATTTGCCAGAGCGGTGGGACCTGTGAAAGCGTGCGGCCTCTTCATTGCAGGACAAACTGTCACTCACGCTCGCCGGCCAATGGTCGGGTTATTTATTTTAGCATGCAGATGTGTGGCGAGGTGATATCTAAATTTCCACATACACCGAAGAGACGAATTAAATTGCACCTCCCCCTCCCCCCGTTGAGCCTCGGTCAACAATACGATGCCTTTTAATGTGATCTGGCAGCAGAGGAAACGTGTGGATCAGCGCTGATTACATATAAATTTTTTTGCTTTGGCAGATGGTGTGACCTTTTAACCCACACACGGTACCAGTAAATCCAGAATAAAGCTGCATGGGTTACACTACCGGTGATTAAAATCTACCACGTTAACCTCAGCAGCTACAAGAACCCAGTATAAACGTTTGCACAACAGATATATCAACCAAAACTCTTATAAACCAC